ATAGGGCGTCAAAGAGGATCGAATGGCAGTAGAAGCGCTCGTCCTGGCGTCATCGGGACTCTTTCGTCATTAAGCACACCGGTCGGCCAGTGTCTAATTAAGCGGGACGTTAAGTGGGGGTGTTCGATAAAGCCAAGCCGTCCGATAAATTCGATTCGCCGGACAGCCGGTTAATACCCGGTGTATACGGGGGATACCGGAGGCCAAGATAAACCGCGCGTTTTTCAGGAAGGTCTCGTTTCGCGGACAGAGGCAGAGGATGACGAACCGAGGTAAACGGAGTTCTTCTTCGAGGGGAGGATGGCGGTGAATCGTCCTCTCCTGGCCTTCTCCTCCTCTTTCTTCTCTTCATCCTCCTCCTCCTTCTCCTTCTCCTCCTTCTCGTTCTCCTCCTCCCCCACGAGCCGTCATCCTCCTCCTCCTCCAGTTCTTCTTCTTCGTCCTGTTCGTTCCGCCGGTTCGACTCGTCTCCCTCGAAGACGTTGGTCCGCATAGGAGAGCGAAGGAGCGAAGATATGCAAACGTCTTGCCGCGAGACGGTTGAACATAACTCAGGCACACGTACGCGGCCGAACGACGCACACAGGTTCGTACCACTGAGGACACTATAAACCTCGATACCGGGCGAATAAAATCCTGGATTTACAGTCCTGATACCGAGCGAGACGGTCCTGTCCTGTCCCGGTGCTGTCCTGTTTGTCGCTGTCGCACGGTGTGGGTTGGCTCATCAGTGATGGCCACGTCCCGCAGTATCTTTTCCCTCGGCATCGAGTAGACCGGCCAATCTCGAACTCGTACAGACGCGCGTGCATTCGACTTACGCACACATTCGCGAACGACCGAGGGAGAGTCGCGGGTATTGAAATCGACGTACGTTCGAGACGGTCTCGGATCGTGGCTAGCAGAAACGCTCACACTCGCGTTCCGATGCTTAGCCGGTGGTACGTGTGGTGCACGGCCGCGGCCGACCGCGTGTGCGTACGAGCGGATCGTATGCGTGGCTTTCGCGATACTTAGAGAAACCGCTCCCTCTTATCACCCCTCCCGCGCGCCCCAGCAGAACCTTGTTCGATACCATTTGAGGACCTCCAATAACCTATCCGAGCCATTCCGATAGGAGCTGTCAGCCCGCACCCACATGCTGTGCGCGCGAGGAGCCGCTCCGCGCAGACCGGATAAGCCCGAGCGCAGGTGTGCCGCACAAAATCGTCTGATCGACGTGCCGAGTGCGCTGATCTCGATGACCTTCGCC